TCAGGATGAAGAAAAAACTATTCTGGCACAGCAGTAGGCTAGCCCCAAATTTAAAACTGAAACAACTGTAAAAGTCTGACTCACAGACGAACACAATACAGAAGCCTGATGATGTCAGATGAGATTCTGCTGAAACGTTGCTACAACTTTAAAAGCACAACTACAATGATGTGGGAAAATACCCAAACAAAGCTGAATGCCATACATGTAAGTACCCACGAAAACTTAAGAAAACATATACACACACACATACACACACACACACCTGTGTATATGGTGGTGGCTAAGTTGTCATCAGGAGAGGTCAGCATGGCCAAATTCCCACGGTCCCAAGCCCCATTAATAGGATGCATGATCAACTCCAGAGTTAATGGGCACTTAGTAAAGAAATATCTAGGCTGGTTAATGCTGGGATTGAGAACCTCAGACAAAAAACTTTCAAATCAATGGCAACAGCTAAATATAACTAACCTGACAGAACCATCTGTGGATGCAGTCGCCACTAGGCATTTTTCATCATCACAAAACAGGCTGACTATTTTAGCAGAATGAGCCCGCCAACAAATTTGTTGCTTTACATGCTGCAAAAAATATAAGTTAACATTAGCTGTCTTCATATGCATAATTAAGTCAGAATTCTTAACACTTGAACAAGGCATGGTGGTCAGATTCAGATACAACTAAGTCTCAGTAGGTGATTTTTACATCATGCCAAGCCAAAAGTGAACAAAATACGTCCACATATGTCTTAATTGTATATATGTGTGAGACAATGCCAGGTAGTCTGGGGATTATTGATGGGGAAATGAAACTGTCCACGCAGTTGACGTTTAAAAAACAGGTTATGAAAAAAGGTATAGAGACTCAAATCCTAAGTTTTATATGAGAACTTAAGCACATTCAAATTGTTAATTTGATATGGAAACTGAAAACTCAGATAGCCATGCTAAGCGATGCAGTCACATGACATCAAACTTTCCTAAATGCCATTTTTAACCGAGAACAACCTGTTTGCATTTGCTTTTGTTAAACTTTGTTGCTTTGTGCCTATTTCTTTCATTTATTAATATTTCTTTACATTTTATTTCTGCCTTCTTCTTGGCAGTCTTTTGAATTATTTGAACTAAACATTCATCTCTTCATTCAATTCATTAAAATGTTGATATGTAAAAGCCTGTGATTGATCTTGTGACAATCACATAATCGTTTCATGCCAGTATTTAATTTTTAATAATTCTTCGATTATTAGTATACTAAACCAAATTAATAATTCAACTTTAATTTTAATATGCCAGATTTTTAAACATTTTAGTAACTTCAAACGTGAATTTAGCAGTTTTGAGAAATAAAAATTCTACAAGTAAGCCATATTGAAAACAATTCTCATTCCTATAGATGTTTCTTGAATTATACAAATCATTAACAATTCTTATGTTTCATTTACTTTCAGTGTTTAAATTAATTCTATATGTAATGTATATAAGCAAAGAACATGGACTATGTGTGAATCCATGTAAATGAACTGGAGGATGGGAGATATTATTTTGCATTTTGCTCACCCTGTTTGGATCTTTTTGATCTTCTAGGAATGAGCCAATATTCCATCGAATAACATTTCCCTCTGTAAAACAAATCATCTATTAAAAAAATTAGAACTTTTTCATAATACAGAATTAGCCAAGGGCTGTCCCTAAGACAATCCTGTAAGTTAAGAAGCAGCAGAATAGATATCAAGTGAAACAATGATATTTTACAATTCAAACAGGGTCTCTTGATGACTCTTTTGCTTTGACTAAAGAAGATAGTTTAATATGAATTATTTTTATATTACAGAAACCCATTTTTCTAATTTAAAATAGTGTTTAAGACTATAAACACATTTTCATTTTACCAAAATCTTATTTAATTACTATGAAAAGCAGATTCAACTGCCATCAACTGGAATCTTGCTATTATCTTACACAGTGTGATGCTGTGTGTATCATCTTACACAGACTTGCCAGGCATGGCAATACATCTCACTTTCCCACTTTGTTTTGAGAAATTTGCTTAGATCAGACGTTCGTAGACTCCATATGTCTGGATAAGTTGCTTTACTGAACGTAAGGAAGAAGTCACACAGATGCAGAAAGTCTGCTTCCTGCAGAGCCCAAAATCTATTTCAGGATTTAAGTCAGAGGTAGTATTCAGCAGGTTCTGACCAGTTCTGAAGAACTGGTAGCGGAAATTTTGAGTAGTTCGGAAAACTGGCAAATGTCACCTCTGACTGGTCCCGCCCCTATCTATTCTCTGCCTCCCGAGTCCCAGCTGGGTCTTCTTTTGTTTCCCTGCACAGGAGAACGGAGCTGGAAAGGGATGGGGTGGGGAGGGAATGGGATTTTGCAGTAACCTTCCCCCTGCAGTGGGGTGGGAATGGAGATTTTACAGTATCCTTCCCCTGCAACGCCTACCAAGCCATGCTATGCCATGCCACGCCCACCAAGCCACGTCCACATAACCGGTAGTAAAAAAATTTGAATCCTACCACTGGTTTAAATTCTAGGCCTTTCCCTCCTGTCCTTATGAGTCAATTGAAATTTGGTTCTTCTCTTCTCAGCCTTAAAACTGTGAGACAATGGCATGGTGTTTATACAAAGGTTCTCTGAGAGGGTATGATTCTTGCCTCACCAGCTTAATCTTTTGCATACAGTTTGTTATATTTTTACACACATGATTGATTTATTTAGAAAGTCTATATACCTACTGTTTTAACAATTCAGTGTGAATTACATTTAGAAAAAAACCCAATTCAATTGTACATTAAGATATAACTGATATAATAGCATAATTCAAAGGCCTGGAAAAGTACTTATTTATTTTATTTATTTAACCCATCTATACTGTATGACAATCATACGGAGCAATAAAGCTTACCTTTATTAGCAGCATAAAGCATTTGGGCAGCCCCATCGGCACAAAGTGCTGTCAAAGGAATTGGAGGATGTTTTGTGTATGGCAGAATTTCTTTCAGTAGATCTCCCTTTACAAAAACAGAAATACAATCACACTTTCACAAATCAGAATTTTCTGCAGTTAGGCCTTTGGGATTGCATGAGTCATACCCATTCTCTTATCTAACCCTTTTTCCAAATCTTCCGTTTTAGCCATTAAATTGGCTTACAGCAGAACCATATGCCTACTTCTTTCTAAGTAAATTATACTGTACTCAATGTACTGCACTGGGCTCATGCATCACACCAACCTAAGGCTTTTTAAAACAATGTTTCTTGTTCAAGTATAAGGGCCTGATTTGCACATTAGACATAAACTACTGTTCACAAACAAAAACACTGGGTTCATACATGACATGGCCAGCTCAGACTGTGAGGATGCCAACAATGAGCACACAATTCCTATGTTGCTGCTGGAGAACCAGGAGGCAGTTGTCATCTATTTCTGAAGATGAGGAATCTGAGCTGCTACCAGTATTTGCTCCCAGTGCAAGGGTTCACCATGTAAATAGGAGAGTAAAGGCACTCTGTAAGGCCACTCACAAGAAAGGAGACAGACTCAAGTGAGCAATGCTGGGCTTGCTTCAATGAAAGAAGAGAAGCCAGATGAAGCCTCCTTATTGGCCACAACTGTCTGGTTACCCAGACTTCGTATGCCTTGACTTCACTTGACCACTCAAGTGATGGGTCCACTGTTTTGGATTCATAGTTGTCTTAAGGCAATCTTGCTAGATATTTGAGGATTTGATTTCTCTAGTGCGTATATATGTGTTTGCACTGACATTTCCTTTGCTACTTGTTCATTTGTTTCACAGACTTCTCTGTTACATTTGGAACCACCTCCCAAGTACGTGGCCTGAGACAGGGCAATAATACATTAAGCTAAAGTCAAATGAACCACCAGTGGCATAGAAAAAAGTGTGTACAGTTTGATGTGTTTGGGAGACAATAGAAAAACTGGAAAACATGGAAGATGTAGAAAAGTCCCTTGACTGGATGAAAACGTAACTGAAACTCTTCTTCACTACTTCAGTCCAGTTCCATAAAACAACTTACCATAATGCTCCACAAATAAATGAAACCATCTTCATGTGCTGAGGCAAGTATGGGTATAGAATGATAATTATGTTTTCCAAATGATAATATATTGGGTATTGCTCCTTTGCTTGAGGAAGAATCTGGAAGCTTTGTTTCTAAAACAGAAGATAAGTCATCAACCAAACAGTATTCATATTTTTCTTCCCTTGAACATAACTTGTTTCCTGTGTTCTATCATGAGATGTATTAGCATATTCTATTTCCACTATTCACTTAAATTTTTTTGAAATAAAATCCATCAAGAGTGTTATTACACAAAGAATCAAGCTTCTATCAAGACAAATTTAATCCTGTTGACTTTATGGAAAGACTTCAAACTTAATCCTGTTGACCCCATGAAGTCAACAACATGATGGCAACAACATGAAAACAATATGCCATTGTTTCTTTCCAGATATTTTTTCAACTTCTCAGTTTCCTAGGATTTCATAGTGATTTTCCATTTAATCAATTTCAACCCTGCGTAGCATTTCAAGATCAAGGTTAAGATGTGTGTTATGAAATAAATTCTTCAAATGTTTCCCTTTGGAATTGATGTAGACCTTGTGGAAATTATTCCTTTGCTTCCTGAAGGGGAAGAATGTGGAGGTTTTTTACTGAAGCAGAACATCATTCAACAAACAATATTCATGTTCTTCTTTCTTTGAACATAATTGTCATTAAATATCATTAGATTTATTAATGTATCTATGCCCATCTTTCAAGCACTTCAGCCAGTGGTGGGATTCAATTTTTTTTTACTACCAGTTCTGTGGGCATGGCTTGGTGGGCGTGGCAGGGGAAGGATACTGTAAAATCTCCAGTCAGAGGTGGTATTTGCTGGTTCTCTGAACTACTCAAAATTTCCGCTACTGGTTCTCCAGAACTGGTCAGAGCCTGCTGAATACCATCTCTGACTTCAGCACTTCTGATACAGCAGTATTAATTGCAATTTTCCTTACCTGTCATTGAAGTAATCTCAAATAAACTAGCTGTTGCAGTTTTTTAAAAAGAATTTCTTAAACATACTCTCAAAAATACAGCTTACTATCTAAAGGAATAAAAAATTTTTGACTCATACCTGAAAGAGTTGTACAAACAGAGTCTCTTTTAATGCCATTCTGAAATCAAACAACAGAAATTTAGAAAGTAGGGTTTTTCCCATCCAATTCAAACTTAAATAAATCCTGCTGATTACTTTCAATAAAGAAAACACAATCTTTTTTAAATGTTCTCATAATTAAATAAAACATGATTTTTTTCAGAATATGTGCACAAGGTGGGGTGAATGCTCTTCTAGCCTGCATTAGAGGGCTTTGAGAATTTAAAATGGCCAAATAATTATATCCCCAAATTCAGACACTCCAAAATCTCATGTGCTTTCTAAAGGTCTCAGTATGTGATACAGCAGTCCAATGCTCCTTCTGCTGCTAATTTCTTTAAAGAATTATACCAACCAGTCATCTTTTGGGAACAGTAGGTAATAATGCTACCAGCAGAGAAAATAATATAGAAGTAGTGCTGAACTTTAGGCTAATACAAATTATTTTACCCTATTCTCTATTGAAATAAAATTAAAGCTTCACTTCCCTGCTGTCCTCTACATAATGAATGAGAAGGTTTGTATGAAGATTGAACTCCTGTTTCCAGCAGATTCATTCCTGTACTTGATTCTTGCTTGAAAAGTACAGGTCCTTAGGAAGTTTCAGCTTATATTCTATTTCTGCTGCTTCTAAGAATGATTCCAACCCTGTATTTGTTTTTATCTGCATGCTTCATCATGATAAATTGCATGTAAGGTTTTTGTTTGTTGTTATTTAATTTTTCTAGAGCTATTTCATTTGGGGCTTTGTCCAATTTTGTCTAATGGTTTAAATGATTAGTTTCCAAAATTTTATAGTTTTTCAGTTCTGATGAAAAGGAAACTATGGCATTTTAGAGATATCCTGATTTAGATGAGGAATCTTATTTCCATGAAAAAAATTCTCCCTGAGCATTCATTTTGCACGCAGTTGCTATTGCAGCTACCATTTTCAGATAACTTTATTTTTTTCCCCTTATGTATATTTCCACAGATACCAGAAAAGAATCCCTGAGGTTGGATTAGAATACTCAGAGAATGTAAACTTGGATGAAATCACCTCAAGAAAATATAAGAAAGTGCAATAACAAAGCTTTCATATTCACAGCAGGCTTTGTTAAAATTATGTGCCATCAAGTTAATATTGAATCTTAAGTGACCACATACACTTTGTCTACCTATCTGTTCCTAACTTATCTTTTAGACCTTCCAACAATACATTTCCAATGATGCAAATAAGTCCATCCAACTTGTTGCTAGTCATACTTTTCTTCTTTTTCCTTCTACCTTTTCCAACATTAGAATATGCTACAGAGAACTTAGTTTTTGCATAGTGTGTCTAGAGTAGGACAATTTTAGCTTGATTCTTTGTGACTTGAGTGAGTTTTGGATTCATTTGTTCAATGATCTATTTGTATGTTTTCTTGGCTGTCACTGAGTCTTTTCCAACACCAAAGATCAAATGCATTAATATTTTACTTACCCTACTTCTATCCAACTTTTGCTCCCATAGAGTCTCCAAGAACACCATGGCTTGCAGTATACTGATCTTTATCAATACAGACACATCACAAAATTTCCAAGGCCTTCATGGCTGCTCTACCAAGTTCTAGTGTGTAACATATTTCTGGATTGCTTGTTCCTTACTCTCATGATTAATCAATACTTCCATTGTCAATTTTAAGGCTGGTTGCTGTACCTGCTGTCATTAGCTACACATAGTCACCTTGAGTAGTGAGATGGGCAGCAAATAAATTTTATGATATTAATAATAATAATTAGTTTGGTCTTCACTGCATTTAATTTTAATCACTTTTTTTTCATATGCTCCTTGATTTATATTGCAGATTCTTTTCATTTTTAGCTATCAGGTAGTGTCATTGACAGCTAAGCTATTGATATTTCTTCCTCCAGCTTTAAAACCACACTCATCTTTTTCCAATCCAGCTTCTTTTGATATATATTTATCATATAGGTTGAGTAAGTAAGGGGAAAATATAATCTTGTTGCACTTTTTTGCCAACCTGAAGCCACGTTCTATCCAGACTATGGCTTCCTGACATGCATTAAAGTTTCTCATGAGAAAAATAAGCTGTTCTGGAATTGTTATTTTTTAAAAGCATATTCTAGAACCTGACATGGATGGTACAATTGAAGGCCTTTGTATAATCAATGAAGCACATAGTCATTTATTTTTGGTATTTGACTTTCTCAAACATCCAGCATGGATCAGCAATAACCCATGTGCATCAGCAATAATTTATTACTTTATTAAGATCAATCCAAATATCACAGACAAGTGCAGAAGATTTTTGGTATGCTATGAACCTTCATCATGATTAACGGTAAATGAAATAAAGACAAAAGAGCTGGCTCAATCTTAAAGCCATAAAAATCTATATTTAGTCACAGCCTGCCTGAGGACAGAATGCACTCTTCTTGTCCTCTGGCATACTTTTGCTTCTATTTTCAGCTAACAGTGACATCTTGTTTAGTGTAATCTCAAAATGGTGGTTTAAGGTGGCTGATAGTCTGCAGTTTTGTTGAAAGTTTGAGACCCAGACAGATGGTAACCTGGATCAGAAATGATTTATTTAATATTTATTTATTACATTTATTTGCTGCACATCTTGCCATGGGGGGGCTATTCTGGGGGGCTTACGACAGTAGAATGTAAAATTATAAACAAATGTAACAATAGGAACAATGAAACAGTAAAAAATAATGAGAATCCAGGGAGTCCTTGACTTACAACAGTTCATTTAGTGACCATTCAAAGTTACAATAGCATGAACAAAGTGATTTATGACCATTTTTCACACTTATGACCGTTACAGCATCCCCACGGTCACGTGATTTACATTCGGCTGCTTGACAACTGACTCACGTTTATGAGGTTTGTAGTAACCCAGGGTCATAGGATCCCCTGGTGCGACCTTCTGCCAAACAAAGTCAACAGGGAAACCAGCTTCACTCAATAACCATGTTACTAATATAAGAACTGCAGTGATTCACTTAACAACTGTGGCAAGAAAAGTTGTTAAAATGGGGCCAAACTCACTTGAAAAAATTTCTCACTTAGCAACATACGTTTTAGGTTCAATTGTAATTGTAAGTTGAGAAATATCTATACAGCAAAATGAATTAAAAGGTGGGCAGAGAGCATTGTGATTTGCTGGCAGCCTGTGCAGATGGCAGCGGAATTGGACAGTGGAGAAGAAAGGGGATCAGTCTGGGAGTTTGGAGAGGACTTGGATGAGGGTCCTGCATCCGATGCAGAGGTGGGGCCAGGACCATCTGGGAGAGGGGTGCTGTGTCTGGAGCCTTCGGAGTCTGGCAGCAGTGAGGCAGAGGACCCGGGGGAGCCTGTTCCCAGTGCGCGTGTGCGCAGAGCTGCTAGAAGTTGAGAGCAGCTGAAATAAAAGGGGCGACTAGGGAGTAAGGCTGGGAGGTGATTGCCCCTCTCATAAGGTATAAAGGACAGGCAAAGGTGACAAAATCTTTGCAGGAAGCAAAGTCGTTCATTCAGTTCAGATTCATTCTTGAAGCTCTTTGTACTTCGGTTGGTTTATTTCTAGTTCATTGGGCACTTCTGTTATTGGCAGCACTTCACAGAAAAGAAAGGTAGGTGCTTATCTTGAGGGACTGTTTGAGAAGTCATTACGGGCTGGGAATGAAAATAATTCCCAGCATTGCAATAAAACAAGACTTGTTTTTAAAAGAAGCATGTGAATAATTACGGTCTCGGAAGTCTTGGTCAGGACAGAGAGGGAGTAGGAAGCCCAGGGAGGAAGGTGGGGTCTACAATTAGTCTAGTAGCCACCTCCAATTTGGTATTCCCCCATGGAGTCCCCAAGCCTGGTACAAGTCTTCAGACTCTTACAGAAAGAGGCCATGCCTTGAAATTACAGTTTCCCTATACCATGGTTAAACTCATTCATCATTTGTGTGGATTTAGACATTCATGATAAATCACATATACTAAACTATGGATTGTTTTAACCATGATTTGTGAAACAAACCACCAAAGCCTAGACTATATATATATAAAACTATGATTTACAAACCATGAGTCATGGCTCATGAAGGATACTATGATATAAGAATGATTTGCAATCACTTTTTGAAATTCACGACCATAGTTTTTACTTGTGGATCTGCCTTTTTAACACATTTATGCCCCTCCTTCCAAAAAAATAAAAATAACAACTGCAACAACTATTTTTTACCATTCTCCCTTCTGAAAAGGAACATACCATCTTTAACACTGAAACATTGTCATCTGCTTCCTGTGTAGGCATATCCTCACTTTGTGCTTCAAAATAGGAAGAACATTCACTTGTACGCCTGCACAGAAAATAAGTGTCTGAAAATACTAAGAATATTCTTAAGAATGTATTAACCATCATAGTTCACTTTGGGTTTTTTTGGTTTTTGCTTCCCCCCCCCCCGCCCCATAAACTTACAAGGGCTTGTTCTAAAGGCAGGATGGTAGGTTTCTAAAAGCTTTTGTTTTAAAAAAAAATCATTATAAATAGCAAATATTTGGAGTGAAAGGGGAATTGAAGTCACTATTTCAATCATTCAGAATTTGAGTAATACCAAGGCAGCCTCAGATGCATATAACATTAAACAGCAAAGGTGTTTGATGGTAGACAGAAAGGATGTAAAAAATTTACAAAAGCTGAGTTTTGTGCTGCAGGTTCATATCTGTCATAGGATGTGCAGACTGGTTTTGTTCTTCAGCTAATAATTGATGAAGGAGTGAACATGAAAAATAAAATTGATTGTATATTGCAATTTACTGTATACTTAAGAGAATGGTTCAGTACTGATTGGGGAATAAGATGGAGACGTCCCTTTCACTGTTTAAGAGATTTATACATAACTGTATAAAGAATGCTCAATGTGTCGGAAGTATGCACATGGTGGAACCAAGGATGGTTTAGATGTGGAGAAGTTCAGTGATTTGTACCCATGGAAACTAGTTTGAGCTAGTTTTCTTTGTCTTTTTTTAACCCAATAATTTTAAATTTTCTGGCTTACTGTTTGTAGTCCTTTTTTGCACTCTGAATTAACACTGCTAACGTCAAGAATAAATAGTATGAGAGGTCCATACTTATACATATAAGGACCGGTCTAGGACAACTCACCACACTCAACTTGCCATGGGACAACTAAATGTTCTATTCATCATTTCATTTAGTTACTTTTATTATTGGTGACCCTATTTTCATTGAAAATGTTTGTAACTCGTATTTCTGGATTGACTTTCTTTCTTTTATTAATATTGACCACGGCTCCATTGAAATTAATTTAACTTTTATACTTGTTGAATTGTACCATGGCGAGTTGGCCATGGTAAGTTGTCCCATTCCATGTAAGAACATGCAGAGTAACCTTTTCCCTTAGCAAGCAGTGGCTATTAATAGTTAGAATCTGAATTGATTTATGGGGATCAAATTTGGCTATCCAATATCATATTCTGCCTACTAATTCTTGTTACAAGAAGCAATGCTCAAGAAACAAAGGAATTCCCTTGTTGTCATTACTATTTGCATTGACATTAGAAGTACTAAATAGAAATATTAGATAAGATATGGATATAAAAGGAATGGAAATAAAAAATGGAAAGTTTAAGTTACAGGCATTCGCAGATGATTTGGTATTTATCTTAGAAGATTCACAAGAAAACAGGGCCTAAATTAATGGAAAAAAAATAGAAGAGTATGGTGAAGTGGCAGGACTGAAAATAAATAGAGGGAAAACTAAGATTTTAGTGAAAAACATTACAGAGAAACAGAAAAAGAAAAGTAGTACAGCTTCTTAGCCCACTAACATAATATATACATGTTTTATAAAGAACTGGCTTACCTCTCAGACATAATATCTCGATACAGGAATAGTAACCAGTTGATTTTACGTAATTCAGGTCTATCTGAGTGAATAGCACGCCGAGCTCTGAACCTGAAAATGAAGATACTTTGCCTGTAGTTTTTTTTCCACATTTGTTAGATATATTGTTAAATAGTACATATTTCCCCCCCCCCCTCAAAGTATGGCCAGAATAATTATAAATTTTAAAGAATTTGTAAGTTGGTTTCATATTTTCAAATTCATGCAGTTACATTTTCAAAATGATAGTGCAAACAATTGGCTCATCTTAAAAATGCTGTCATTGTAGAATCCCTCCAGGTTGAAAATCTCCAATTAAAACTAAGTGAATAGATACTTTATATTACTAAATCTCCAAATTTAGCATTTCAATAATGCATAGACCTCCAGTGAATTCAATAAAATCTGCCTAAACTACAAATACCTACTTCTGCAAAAATCTTGCTTTTGTGCTTGGGATATTTTTTTTATGCTGCTTAAAATCCCGTAATTCTAAGAACGAGCTCTTTTGACTTAAAAACACCCACCTACCCACACACTCAACTGTGTTTTGGGACTGGTTTTCAAAAGAAGACATTTGCTTTGGGGCCTATTCCATTTATCTCTCTTTTAAAAGCTTTGCTTTCTTAGTCAGGGGGTAAGAATTATTCATCCACTTTAGTAGGAGAGAAGCAATCTCAATTAGCATTTCCAAGAGACTTTCAACATGAAGAAGATTAAAAGCGAAACTGGTGAAGAAATAAGGGCATGGCACTGTCTGGGATCCATTCTTTGTATAAATATTACTTGAGGCAGAAAAGGATGAAGCAGCAAAGAAATTATTTACAGGTACTGTCGTTCCAGGAGAAATGGTTTTGAAGTTCAGCTAAATAGGGCACAGAAAGCCAAAGTTATTTCTTCTGCCTTTAGTGCAGAATTTTAAAATATGCTCAAGGGAACAATTCCACTGAAACTCTTGAAAATGGAAAACACGGCTATTTCTTATATTGCAGCAAAACTAACCAACAGCCTGCATCCCCCCCGTCCCCTTCTGAACAAGCAAGAACAAGAGACTTGGCACAGTGGCTCTACCCAAGTGAAGTAAGCCTGGGTAGAGGCAAACAGGTTGCTGAACCGCACTCTCCTTTACAGAGCCAAAGTTCCTTCGACTATGCATCTCACCCATTCAGTGCTATTTGTCTGTGACTCAGGTTATGCACAGGAGACAATAATTGAGATCTTCACTTCTGACAGTGCATTTTTTTTTGACACAAAATGGCTGAGGTATCTCAGGGAAATAACTTAGTCCTGGATGCTTCCAGGGTTGCCCCAGTCAAAGAGGGAAAAGCCATATTTGTCTCTTTGGGAAATTGTAGCTTCCTGTCTTTTTCTTTTTTTGATTGTAGAAAAAGAATCTATGGTGGCTCAATGAAGATCAGTAGCAGCATCAGAGAAAGTTATTCCTATGTGGGACTAGGAATAAAAGTACATTAATAAGTGAGAGGAGTTCCTACATCAGTCCTCTTTTGTGGGATTAGTCTAGTTTGTTTCCAAGTCAGAGGTAGAATGAAAAAAAATCTGTAAATATTCTTTTTGAAAAATATGGTTGATTTGGAAAAGAGTGCTTAACCCAAGTCAACCCTGGGCTGTTTTGTCTAAGACCATTGATTTGTTTATGTTGACCAGATGATACCATAGCTTTATCCATGACTCAACTAAGCATATCATTATGAACAGGATTTAGGGGGATTTACAATAATCAATCAACAATTCAGATTTATCTCTGGGTTCCAGCAGCTTATTCCTAGTTTAATACTTCTATTTCTCCTTTTCTCACATTGGGAACTCTTTTGAGACTGGACACTAAAACAGCATTTATCTTGGATGACTTGACATAAGCACTGCCTCTCCACATCCATTATAGGATAAAGTGTTTTACTTACATGTGTGTAGCTGTGGCAGTTTCAAAATCCCACATGATGATAGAACCATTTGCACTTGCTGTAGCTAACAAACTGTAACCTTCTACTTTTAACAAATCAAAGCACTTGACTTCAATCCTAGGAGGTAGCTGAAAAATACACAAAGCAAAGCATCGGATGGACATTGATTGGGAAAGAATAGCTGACCAGAACAGATGGACAATCAAAGACAAACAACACAGAGAAAGGCAACCAAGAGCTTCACAATTCCTTCCAACAATCTTTGTCAATATCCAGAAGAACTTATAGAAAGCAAAAATTCATTTTTGACTGCTTACTTTTGCTGTGGACCTCAGATAGAAATAACTTTCTTAGAATTTTTTTTCTCTTTCTTCATGTGTTCTAGAACATATCTAGAAATGCAATAGTTCCTCACCTCTGCATTTGTGTTTGTGAGATCTGTATCAAGCAGTAGTTGAACATCTGGAAAAAAACCATTGGGTTTTTTGACATTGGGAGACAGTTTTAGGGCAATGAGTGGATAGCCTTGTAAAGCAAATGACACAGCTTCAGGAAGTTCCCAAGTTATGGACATGTAAGCTTCACCTTGATTAGCCTGGGTGAACAAAGAATTGAAGAAGATTAATTGACAATCAATCTGGGATAATGTCTAGCTTTGTAAATTACTTTGAATATTACATACACCAGACATATTTATGTTAGAACATATTTATGTTAGAACATATTTATGTTGATCCAAGAATAGCAGTAAATGCTATGAACAGTTATACTACTGGTTGACATCCACATCTGGACATTTCACACACAGTTACCTTTGGGGAGATGGACTCACATCAAAGTAATCGTTTATGTAGAATACTTTGATAGTTTGGAAACTGAGATGGTTTTGAGGGCTACACAACACATTGCTATCATTGACAAAGGCTTTTAAGTTTCTGGTCAGCACAAATACTCATGACCAGCAGGCAGTATGTCAGAAACTGAATGCAGCATTGGTTAGAAATGTAAGGGGATGCAATCCAAGAGGCAGTTCTGAGCTCAATCAGCTTTTGAGGCTTAATTAATTAAATCAAATCTAACATAATGCCTTCAGGACAAATGACTGAAGTAAGCATCTGGTGAAAAACGTATTTCTAGAATCCCTTCTAAAATGCCTAAATTAGATGATTAAAACGATAATTACCAATAAAAATACTAGTCACAACGCCTAGGAAACTTTTTGCATTCTCATTTAATAGGCAGCCAAATGAGGATTAAATACATTTAGCATGCCCTTATTAAATAAATTATTAGGGATTGAAAATAGTTGTACATCTTCTTGTTACATTATTTCAGAGGCTCCAACGTGGGGTATATCTGCACTAAGAATATAGAAGGTTTGTCTTCTCCTGAGGTTTCAATGAGTTAAGGCTGAATTGTTGTAGTTTAAAAGACCTGCTTCAGCTTGAGCCTCTAAGAAAGAATGGTCCTTAATTCCATTTGTTGAGAAAGGTATAGTTTCCTAGAGGTCAAGTGAAAGCCAGAGCTGAAATCTGCATGACCAAATCCTAAAGTCTAACTTCCCATCCTTTAGGTACCTCCCCATACTGGCCTCCCCAATGCCCAATCAAATTCAAAGAAGATGTTTTCAGAAGGGTCGCTCCAAGCGTGGGTTGGTATGCTGCTGTATTCTGTTCTTAGCTGGTTGAGGAGATATAGTGAACTTTTCGTTTTCCTGAAATCCTCCCGCTTCCCATTCAGTCCCCTAGAGCAGGGGTCCCCAACCACCGGGCCGCGGACCAATACTAGTCCATGGAACATTTCCTACCGGGCCGCCGGTTTGCTGGGCGCCGCCATCTTGTTTGACGAGAAAGTGCTTCCGGGTGAGCTTTTCTGGTTGGAAAGCGGCATTTGGGTCCTGAAGGAATCCTCGCGCCTTAGTTTCATCGAAGGGGGGGCTTCGAACGAAACTAAGGCGCGAGGATTCTTTCAGCACCCAAGGCAAGGCAAGCTGAGCAACCGTCCCGAAGCCATCCCAAAGTGAAGCCCATCGACAAAGGTACAAAGGAGGAGTTGAAGGTGGCGGGGAGTAGCGGGGGACGGCTGGCTGGCCGGTCGCTCGGCTCGCCTTGCCTTGTCATGCGTGCTGATGCTGGTACCGGGCCGCAGATCATTTTGTGATGCCAGTACCGGGCCGTGGCACAAAAAAGGTTGGGGGCCACTGCCCTAGAGTTCATGGTGCTCTGGCACTGAGTGATAGGAAAAGGCAAGCATGAAGTGGCAGCTAACAGAAGGTTAAAGATTCTTTTTTTTTTTTAAACTCAGGCCACTTAGAGGGCAGTTTAGAAGTTTTGTGCTAGTATTTAATGATTTATTAGCTTAGAATGTACTGTATATAATTATTTATAAATTGATGGGGATGGTTGGCAAATGTCCATAGTTTTAAGCAAACATTTAAATAAGTACAGGAAGTCTTCGGTTAGTTGTGGTAATTGGGACCAGGAACTCGTTGCTACATGGTGAGTTGTAAAGTGCAATGCCATATGGTTGCGTGGATTTAGGATTGCATTTCTCGTTGTGGTTACTAAACAAATCCCGTTTGGTCATTAAGCATGACAACATGTGGCTGTCATTTGCAACCTCTTGCTGGCTTCCCTATTGACTCTGCTTGTTGGAAGTCGACAGAGAAGGTCGCAAATGGTGAACATGTGACTGCAGGATGCCACAATTTTTGTTAAATGTCAACAAACTGCCAAATGCCTAAACCATGATCACATGACCATGAACCATAAGTCTTCTTGTTCAGTACTATTTTAACTTCTTGTTCAGTGCTACCAGTGCTGAGTCAGTAACCAAGGATTCCCTGTAAAAGGGATCTGAAAAGTCTTGATGGGATTAAGAGGATTAGAACCAGAAGTCATAAACAGGATATAATCAATAAAGATAAATAGAATAAATATGTAAACCAGTTATATGTTGGAATTGTGGAAATTTAATGATACTCTAATTGCTTGAAAGGGGACTTAATCTTTGATATATTAAAACTGTAATTCTGCACAAATGTGTTTGGAATATCAGGATATGAATACTTGAGAGGAAGTATTTCACACTCCTGATAGCTGAGCCCTAATTTGGGCCTTTCTTTCTAGGTTGGGATTACATTTTACATAATAGCAAACATGGTCATAGGGAATTGAGGTCCTAACAAATGTGGAAATCCATAGTTAAGAGAGACTGGGTTCCTTGATTTTTGAAATTGAGAACAAAGTGAAGCAAATGAAATAGAAGATGTAACAATCAAAACTCAAACCTGAACAATTTTGATCATCCCGCTGTACTCCAAGACCAGGATCACATGCTTACTCTCACTGGCTTTCAAGTAGACCATCTGCATCAGCCAATGTTCATTGACTGTGATTTCCCTGCCTAAGGGCAACATTTTAAGTATCTGCCCACTTCCAAAATCCCATATTTTCACAGTCCCTAAACGTGTAATAAAACAGAAGGAACATCACTCTTCATAGAAATAACTAACAGCTGTGTGCTACTGACTACAAAGTTTGCACTTATATGAAATACATGTAGAACAGTAGTGTCCAAGCTTGGCAACTTTAAGACTTGTGGATTTCAACTATGCTGGCTGGAGAATTCTGGAACTTGAAGTCCACAAGTCTTAAAGTTGCCAAGTTTGGGTACTCCCTGATGTAGAACAATAATGATTGTGTGAAAAGACTATTCTCCAATGCATTACTAAGGGCTATCTCCCACTACTGTACATGGTGCACAGACAATGTTATAAGTTCAAAAGAATTCTCAACTGATCTTTATTATGAAACTACAGAGCCCAGAAAGCATGATTTATTGAACTAGCTTTATGGCTCCTTGAAAAATACAGCAAATTATCTTAAAAGAGTTATTTTAGGGACTAATTAATTTAATTACCATCACATGCTCCAGTAGCAAGATGAAATCCATTTTTATCAACTGCTGCACATGTCAACTCAACCCCTGGCCCATGAGCATCTTCAATCTGGTATATTAACTGTCCTGTTTCCAATTCCCAGACCTAAACATAAAAAAGAGATTATATGCAATTCAGCAGATTAACTACAAGAGATTCCAAAAATAACCCAAACAGGTATTACTTCTTTTTCTCAAAAAAATGTATGCACTAAGTCTTAAAATAGAAGAATGAGAAGAACTGATTGAGTTTGAGAAAGGAATGCTGAAATAAGTATTCCAATTTCTCCTTGATTTAAAAGAAAGATTCAGTAATTCCTTTGGGCTTGCAGTTCAAGTGTTTTTCCCAAACGAAAGAAATGAAGTAATTTATTCATCCCGCCTCACCCATCACTGGGAAAGGCAAGTTCGAAAATAGCTTTTAAAATTGCATGTGATTGTGAAAAGAATATCCTAGTAGCCTAGTTAATGTATTTATCCAAACCGGGGAGGGGGGTGGGGAGAGGAGGATCTTTTCTTTTACAACTGTAAGGCTCATAAAATTTATACTCACCTTTACAATAGACTCAGAACAGATACTTAGAACTTGGTGAAAAACTTTATTGTAAACCAGCACATTGATGCTCCTTTCATGGGTCTGGGGGACTTGTTTAGTGTCTTGTATCATCCGAGTGAGAGGATAAATATCGATGACTGCCGATCCTGGGTATTACAGAGTTGCATTAAGTTTAGAAAATACTTATGTTTTCATTTCAAAGTTTTGATGCCAGACTGACCTTAAGGAAGCACATTGCATGTTCTTGCTACTGTATGTAGCTTGATGGCATTATATGTCTGATCAAATTAAATTATTAATAAGTTTTTGTGCACTATAGTATTGCATTTACTCTTCCAAAAACTTGTTTCATGCACGCACTCAAACACCAAACCCTTAAAACTTATGCTATAGAAAATTAGAGATGATTGTTTTTATTTGTCTATAGCAAGGACAGGGAATATCTGACAGGCTGGAAGCCACAGTTCTACTTCCTTTTTTCCTATTTTACAAATCACAATACAAAGCCCTTAGTGCTGAAAAGAGGACTCTTGTGACATGCAAACTGCAGGAAAAATATCTCACGTTCAGCTAGTGCAATGGAATGTGACAACGTTACAGTGGCCAAATCCCAGTGGATGTCTGAAAGGTCTCAGATCAGCAGGAAGGAAAATAGTGTAGGAGAAATCTTTTTATGAGTATGTGGATGGCATTGTCAGGTGTCACACCAGATTGGGCAATACATCTCTGCAGAGTTCAGCCTTGCGTGCAGAAGACAGAATTTCCACTTTTTGTATCCTGAAATATCTGCACGCAAGTTTAGGCATAGAAAATGGGATACAAGCTGTGTTGATTACATTCATGAGTCACTGACTGAATATGAGCTGAGCTGACCACTCAGGAAATGATGTTTTTCTGTTATGTGGACTCCCAGATAAAGAGAGAATGTAGGGTCTATCAGTACCACATCTGCAAAATAAAGGCAGAATGGTCTTCATGTTGCTTTGCTTGTTTATGTACTAGTTGTCCACAGGAATGTCTACAGCATGTATACTTCAATGTTTTGGGGACAGACTAAATACCTCTGATGAATTCCCTACTCTGCCATAGATACATAAGTAGTAAGCATCTGAATCTGCAGCTATATTCTATGGCATGAAAGCAACACCCTTGGCAATATCACCTTCTTTTATCTGTTTCAAATATCTTTTATTTGTCTTTAAAAATATTTTGTTGTCTTTCTATCCAGTGTAGGTATATTTATACATTCAATGTCCCCTTTACATGTCTTTTTCTAATTTCGAATTCTCATACGCTACTTTCTTCATAGCAAAGTTACCTAAGCTTCTTTTAAATATCTTGATAACTCTTTAATGCCTCCTGCCTAATAGTACAATTGAAGCATGATGACTCAAACTGTGCACAATAGCCCATCCTTATTTATATAATAGATTTCTAAAAAGTGTTATTTTAATACTTTCAAACAATTTCTCTGAACATTACACAAGTATCCACTGTTTAAACAATTAACTGTGCTGCAAGATCAGACACAAACAATTGAATGAAATATAATGCCTTCAATGTTACAAGTTACCAACAAATTCAAGCAACAGCATTCTAAACTCTGCATCATTTATCACCTGTTCTTTCACTTCAGTTAGCAGAGTCTTGCTATAAGAAAGGATTATTTTGCTACTGTTTATGAACTGGAAGCCTATGGCCCAGAAATGAAATGTCAGTTCACAAAATATAATCACAAAGCTTCACATGATGGAGATGGAGGAGGAGGAAGAAGAAGAAAATGGCAAATTTTTGAGATTCAGATGTTATTAACACAATTTCTTTCAACTGGGCCCAACTGTCAATTCAGGGCACTACGTTGCAAAACTCAAACCTTCGAAACAATAATAAAAAGTTTGAAAGTGCTGAAGGAAACTTTTGCTGCAACATGATAGCACCAGATCTCGTACCTCACAAGCTGCTCTCTCTGTAGAATACACCATACGGTCCAAATTTGGCACCATATGACTTCCATCTTTTTCCAAAATTGAAACAATGCTTTTGTGGAGCCTCTGTTTGACTCAAGTGAAGAGGTGAAAAACTCTGTCAGGAAAGGTATACAGTTGTTTTATGGTGGCTTTATGAAACTTGCCCATTATTGGAAGAAAACAGTAGCAAATAAAGTGGAAAGTGTAGGTGGCAAGAGAGTTCATTTCAAGGATGATTTTCCTGTATCATTTTTAATATATTCCTATTTAAAATAAAATTATGAAGGCATCACTTTTCATTGATACTTGTAATCTTCTACAATTTTAGGCAAAATCCACTGTTAAGTGAATAGACTTCCATCATACAAATTAGTTTTTCTACCATTATTTCCTTGAACAATTTTTCATAAGCCTGAAAGCTGCTTTGAAGGGCTTAGAAATGTTTTGAAGAATATTTGGAGAAATTAAGTTCTCAAGACTTCAGAGCAGTTGGAGAAACTGCTCTTTAGGTTAAAATATCATCTTCCATTATCAGAAAGGTATTGTTGGTTCTGATCCAGCATATCAGCGTGCCTGTTTATAATCAATAGCCACATATTTTTCTCATACCCACCTGCAATAAGTGTTCCATGGGTACTATCAAATATCATAGCAAAAATTTGCGACTCCCTGCGTGCCCCTTGAGAGTCATGGAACACTTGCATCAATGAAAGTGTCTGGATATCCCACACTCTGAAAATCTGAAGAAATGACAAGAAATATTATGTGCGATTATTAAGTACCACAACAAAATGATCAAAAGATGTTGTACTTCCTTGTGCTTCCCTGCATAAACGCCTCAATATACAATATACAAAACAAAATTAAAGAATGGGAAATGCATATTAGTGTTCTTCCTGTTGTTTGCTTATCCCATCATAGCATATTTGTTATATTTATATTCTGCTATTCAGAATAGACACAGATGAGAACATATCCTTTTTTATTTTCACGATTCTCTGAAAATAATCAGCCCAAATTCAATTAACTTCATCACCAAACTATAGAGCAAAACTAGATGTTGGGAGTGTAAGTTGAGCATTAACCATAGGTAGTTTGACTCCTTTTGTGTTAGAGAAGAACCCAAATCCCCTGCTATTAAGGCGCTGCAGACAGAACAGCATCAGACACAACTTGACACATGGACCAGGAATTTTTTTGTACTGATCTGAGACTACAATAAAGATTGACTGATTGATCATGATTACCATTCTCCACTTCTATGGAAGAGACCAGAGCTAGCCTCATCAGGCCGAAGGAGACAGCTATCTCAGATGGCAGATTAGGAAAAGCAGAGAATTAAAATGTTGTGAGAAGCTCATTATTAACAACTAATTAACAAGGTCACTGAGAGGAATGGAAAAATCCTGCTTTCAACCATCATAAACTGAGTCCCTGAGAGAGAGGGGGGGATCCTGGTCAACATTTTTATTTTCCTGTTGGCTGACAACTATGTGAACTCAATAACGTTGAGAAGGGATATTCAGCAAAAAGTGAAAGCAACAAGTTTTAGTTCCTCTTCCTTTTTCCTAACAACAATAGCACAGATTACAATTTTTGCAAAATTCAGATTGCTAGTTTTCTTTCGGTAGCAGAAAAGTGGTGATTCACACCCAGGTAGACAACATTATAATAAGACATACTTTCCAGTCTGAAAGTATCCAGCTTATATATGGCAAAAGGCAGTTCTCCTTTTTTCCAAATGGGGCTGCAATTGCTGAAGCTTTCTAAGAATATAAATAATGCTTTTCTGACTTAATGATACCTTGGACTGAATAATTTTGCACCTTTTTCATATATGTGAAAATGTAAATCAGAAAAAGATTACCTGGGTGTAATCAGGTTGGTTCTTAAGAAAATGAATTATTTGTATTCAGAAGCAATAACTGCCTTAGAAGTCTAATATCTCAATATACTTGAATTTTGGCACAATTTGACAATAAGACGGTACAGCAGGCAAAACAAAGTTCCATAATGTTGACTAATTGTGTTAAGAAGTTAGTGTATCATTACTCAACTTGCTAAATAGCCATATCTGGTTTTCAGTCCAAAAAAAAAATGCTGATCGCTGAATTCATGAGGTATAATTAACACCTCTCCTAGGGCACTGTGTAAGCCAGTAGCAAATTAATAGATAATAGAAGATATAAATACATTCCCATATCCTGAGCAACTGTGATTATATTTTGATAGGACTGTAGTTCTTAAAATGTTTAATGATAAATGCAGCTATGCTATAATATTGATATCCTTTTGAAATGTCTGGCTTAAAAGCATTTTTATTTGAAAAGACTCATATACAATTTATTAAATTGCTAATGTTCTAGGGGTTCTTTGATAAAGAGTTAATCTGTTTAGATTCTGAGCTTATATTGGGAGTCAGATGGCTGCCTATTACTGGTATAGCTTAATATTAGTACATCTGCCACAACCTATCTATTTATTGCACTTTTTTCCCAGATCCAGAAAGTAGGGTTGAGATAATTAAATTCATATCGGAATCTAATATGGAAAACATTTTGCATGTTGTTGATTTTAGACTGGTCAGCTTCCAAAAACAATTCAGACCCTGATTATCATCTTTAAATACATGATGAGCCCTACAAAGCTCATCATGTGAGGAAATACTTTCTTAAGTGTTCTTCTGAACATCAAACCATGTCTAAATAGGATCAACTCCTTCCAGATCCTGTCCTTTCATTTCTGCCATCTGACAGGCCCTTAGAAGGAGTTGACCACACTCTCATTCTACAAAGATCAGTTAATTATGTCCTCTTGGGCTTTAGGAAAGCCTTTGACCCATTCATTCCACCTGGTTTAGGAGGAGAGGATGCTCTGACCGGCAGTGGGGTTGCAAGGAGACAGCCTAGAACCTTCTGGGAATGAACAGCATATAAATTAGGAGAGGAATAATTTTCTGAATATCTCAATAACTTCTATCAATTAAGATAAGAAAAAAGATGTCTGTTTTCCCAGTTGTATATAGAAATATAATTTAACTTTATCTCATGGAATAAAACACAGTAGTATATTTGGAAAAGAACAACTTGAAGCAACTGTGTAAGTACACATGACTTAAAACTTTCTTTTATGCATTACATTTTATACACAGAATGAGAATTTCCTGTAATTTGGCATGAAACAGATTAAGCAATTTAAATCAATTTAATCAATGTTAAATCAAAGTTAGTAACTTCTTGTTTTTTAAATCACATTTAGCTATATTTCTGTAAATTGAAACAAAGCAAAACAAGACTATAATATATTCTTTCTTTTCCTAAATGGAAACCTACTATCAGTTTAAATTAAGATCTTAAAGCTCAACATTCAATATCATCTGTAAAACACAAACTGTGATTAGTGAATAAGCAATAGGGTCAACATTAACCTTCAATGGAATTCACACTGAAGTATATTGTACGTAGTATTATCAAGTCAAAAATTTGACTGTGAAATTAAGCATTTGGCACACTATTATAGACAGTAGGAATAGCATCTACTCAATCTAGTCTTATCTTGGAAAATAGCCTGATTTGGAGACTTTGTCTTTATTTTCTATTATTGAATCACAGACTGATTCCAAAGGCCTTGCTATTCCATAAAGTAGCATTTTGTTCTGCAGCATGTTACAGGAAATTTACATAGAAAAACCTTCCACAAAGGCAATTTTTCCACCTTCTATTTGGCTTTCCGTCCTCACTTTGGGATAAAGGTTGCCAGTGACTTTTTCAAATATGAACAATTTAAACCAAGGTTGCTGTGAGTACTGCTGGGAAATGCACATTGCCAGATGCTCAGTGCCAGACTCTCTATTTCAGTGCATCTATGCATGATTGAATGAATTCCGATACAAGGATGGTAGGAGGTTCCAGTAGATTTGTATGGAACATTTGGAGACGACTATGATAAACTGCCCTAGGGAGGTTCTGCAGCATTCATAGCAACAGAAGTCACTCTTTCGGTTCTGGAAAAAAAAATAGAATTTGCCCTGGGCCTTACCAGAATCTGCAAAGAGAATTCACTATACATACTAGATGAGTGCATGGAATATAAGGCAAGGAAGAGCTTTTTACTTTTAAAAGGCACACTCAAAGAAGTATCATAAAATACATTAGTATATAGCTAAGTCATCATCATTTTATGTGAGGTTATAAACAGTGAGTGAGAGCCAAGTTGGTGCAGTGGTTAAGGCACCAGGCTAGAAACCAGAACTCCATGAGTCCTGCCTTAGATACTGGGTGATCTTGGGCCAGTCACTCTCTCTCAGCCATGCAAAGCAGGCAATGGCAAACAACTTCTGAAAAAAAAAAGCCTTGCCAAACTGCAGGGACTTATCCAGGCAAATATCTGAGAATTGGACATGACTGAATGGAAGAAAAAGGACTGCTTATTTATGTCAAATTATCTAGATTTGTAGCTGAATCGTTTTAAGTCTTTCGTCCTAGCAATCCTTTTGCATATTAACTTAGATGTAAGTGCCATTGTCTATAAGATTCTTCTTAGGTAGTGTAGATATTCAGAGCAAAGCATGAGATCTTGGCTCAGGGAAACCAGTGAGATATGGGAAAAGAAAATCACATTATTATTTAAATCCTACAACTATGTAGTTTTGCTGGGGGCAGAAAAACCTTCATTATTTGCTCCAATAATTTCTGAGACCATTATACCAAATGTTCTCAATAAAGTACAGTCCAAATTGCCACTAAAGCATGAAGAGGCAATGTAAGGCCTTGCAGATATAGCTTAATTACAACTCCAAGCATCCCTGACAATTGTTTGTTCTGACTTGATCCTGGGAAAAAATAATCCTGCCCAAAAATATGTAGAATGCCTGTGATAAAAATGAAGAGGTTGAAACATGCATAAATTGACCACCGTTGACATCTTATAAGCTTGGATATGGAGTGAAAAACAAGTATAGCAAATGTATGGTATTTCCCCGCCAAAAGAACACTGAAATGAATACAACTTAGGGCAGCAACTATTTAATTAAAATAGAAATAGAATCTTTAATCTTATGCATATTTTAATCATAATATCCATAGCTTGTACATTTGTTCAGCCTTGTAACCAAAGGTCTTTTTAGAGTTAAAGTTTTTTAAGATATTCAGGACTTCCCTTTGCTAAATATAACACATTAATAAATGCAAGGACTACTCATCTCAACCCTGAGCTCAAACATTCTCTTTTATTGGAGGAAGGATTATTAGGTTTGTTCACAATCTTGAGCCATTTCTAAAAATAACAAAGATGGGATTAAAAAGAATATAAAACCATGTTTCAGATATCTTAGAAAACTTTGTTAAAGATTTTAATGAATGATAAGAGGGGTTGTTCTTAGATTTTCTTAGATATGAGACATTTGTAGCATCCTCTTAATATTGTCAGCATCTTGTCTTGTCTTTTAGTTTAAAATTATGACCGATAGAAATAAATGATGCTGTACAAACAAATGCATAATATGTATTGCAGTGAATGGGAATGGAATTATATTGCATTTATTTCAGATCTGGAGCCTATAAGGAAAAATAATATTTTATAATTCATAGCATTAAAAAGGTCACTTTGGCAGAGCATATGGTTTTCACTAAGTCAAGGTTAATTCCATACCTTTGCAGTAGAAAGACTGATAATGTATTGATCCTTTTCATTGGTGACAATCTCAGTGATAGTAAATAAATGTCCTATCAATTTCCCCACTGGTTTGGTGTTGATGTTTGGATGCCATAAACGAAGAATTTTATCTTCTCCTGGAATTAAATTTATTTATTTATTTTTTATTTTATTTATGAAAAGCAGTATTTCACTCCTAAATTCCTAGTCAACGTGTCTGAAGACTAATAAATCTGGAAAACATCAGACTAGACCAGCCAGAAAGACCTAGAAGTAGAACTAGACCAGCCATGAAGAAAATACAATGTTTTAACAATTCACAGCTAGTATATGTACTGACTTATCAAGCCAACAATTAATTGAATACTTGTTTATTCTGTCTATATACTGTATTAAACCAATATGTAACTATTTTCAGATCTAATTAGAAAGTTAGAAAAGATTTGCAGTGATCAGTTTGAGTTACCCATCTATGTGTGATGTACTGTATACAGTTGCTATAGCAGAACATTATAAAATAAGGACACTGGTTAGTTGTTTTGCCCAATACACTTTACCAAAAATAAATTGGTTTGTTTTTCTGTTCCTCAAACCTGAAATGTTGGGTGGTAGATTTTTTTTTTTTTTTGGCCTCTCAAGCTCTAGAACAATATTTTGAATCTATCATACTGATTTGTAACCCATCGTTTCAGGTTTCTTGTAATGTGACTTGTTCAGCATTCTGTGAAAAAGCTATGGGTTAATAGCAATAGCACTTAGACTTATATACCACTTTATAGTGCTTTACAGCCCTTTCTAAGCAGTTTACAGCATCAGCATATTTCTCCCAACAATCTGGGTCCTCATTTTATCAACCTCGGAAGGATGGAAGGCTGAGTCAACCTTGAGCCAGTGAGAATTGAACTGCCAAACTGCTGGCAGCTGGCTGTTAATAGAAGTAGTCTACAGTACTGCATTCTAACTACTGCACCACCATTATTTTCTTATTATGTAATTTAGAAGCCCATATTCCTATCCTGTCTGGTCAAGGTGGCTAAACAAAAATACAAATGATAAAAAAAAAATTTAAAACAACAATTTCACCGAAGTAAAATTAAACTATCATTAATATGAGTTCAATTAATATTTGAAATGAGCTAATTCCTGTCAGCAACCATAATCTTGCTGTCAGTCAAACAAAATTATTTAATTTATCTTAATGGGGTGTTGGAGGTGGGTTTTTCTTTCCTTAGATGATATATTTTTTTCATGAAAGAAGAGTAGGAAGTATCACTTTTTATTCTACTTCAGGCAATACAAAGTTTCTGGACTGGTTGGATCTTGTCCACCCCATGCACCCCATCCTTCAATCGTATTCTTTGACAATCCACACACAGTGGCACAGGAGCACACCTGTCTTGGAGCTGCAAATACCATAGTAATATATACAGATCCCTAACAACCCAGCCCCATTACACAGCAGAAAGTAGGGCGGATGGTACCATTGGTCTATTATTCTCCAATTTCAAACTAGGAGCTTGATCATTGGGAGAATGGGATGCTCATCAGGTCATCAGAAACCACCAGAGTATCTCATAAGGCTCTATGTGTTATTGATCAGGAAGATTGCCATATCCATACCCATTTCTTTTGTTAGGACTAGCTGGCTGTGGTCCATTTAAGTTAGCAGTTTTGGTAACAAGGCAGAGGTAGCCTTGTACTGCTTTAAAGGAACTTAAAGATGGCAGATGTTTATGCTTTCTCCCCTAGGTTTTGAAAAGAGATGGGAATCCCAAATTAAAAAACAAAACAAAACTGAAATTCAGTAATGAACTTCATACAATAATCCTATTGAGACTCAAGTAAACAATTCAAGTGCTTGGTTAGCACTGTTCCTCCTTCTTATCCATTTCTGTAGCCACAGCCCAACTCAGCCTGTGCCTATAATAAACAGTTGGACAGTTTATTATAGGCACAGGCTGAGTTGGGCTGTGGCTACAGAAATGGATAAGAAGGAGGAACAGTGCTAACCAAGCACTTGAACTGTTTACTTGAGTTTCAGTAGGATTATTGTTTGAAGTTCATTACTGAATTTCAGTTTTGTTTTGTTTTTTAATTTGGGATTCCCATCTCTTTTCAAAACCTAGGGGAGAAAGCATAAACATCTGTCATGTATCACTATCCAGCCACTTCTACCATAAGACCCCAAACATATTAAACATGGCCCCAGTCACTAAATGGATGCCCATCTGATTCCTACATTTAATGCATATGTTTAATGTTGTCTTCTTCCCTAATAGCATATCCATTGGCCATATTATCTCTATATTATTTCCAGAGAACATCTAGATGGGGGATATAGTTTTAGTATAGAAAAAAAAAGAAGCAACTGCACAATCCCTTGCATTTTTCAAAGAGCGATGTGTGTCAAATCAATGTTACTCTGAAGGGGGGTTTGATGTGACTACATAAAAGCTTTGAAGGCAATCAAACTTCCTAAGTATTAATTATATTAATCACTTTCAGAATTTGTTAATATGAATGAGAACAAACGCACTGTTTGTCTATCCCTTGCCACTCCTGATGATTCTTCTGGGCATGATGACTAGATTAGATTCAGGGTTCTCCAACCTTGGCAACTTTAAGACTGGCTGAGGAATTCTGGGAGTTGAAGTCCACAAGTCTTAAAGTTGCCAAGGTTGGAGATCCCTGGATTAGAAGACACTTCAAGTTTTCAACTGAAAACAACCCATTAAGTTATAAAGGCACTCATTTTCAGAAAGTTGTTTTAAAAAAAAACTTGGATAGGACAACAATTTGTCAGAGCTGCATAACAGAAGACACTTTAGAACAATTTATACTAAACATTCCACCAATTCTCACTTGCTTTGTATACATCATATAGGGCTCTTATAGCTTTCAGAAACCAAACTCCATGCAAATTATTGCATAGTTAAAATTTATTTACTTTTTCATGCATTTTCTATAAATCAACAATGTCCCATTTTCCTCACATCCATTCACTTCTCAGGGACTTACTGAAGGGAAAAAAATATGGTGTATATCAGTGGTCCCCAACATTTCCAGCTTGGCAGACTGGCGGGGGTGGGGGAGAGGGGATACATAACATGCAGTGCAAGTAGAGCTGAGTGCATGTATTGCTTGCCTACCACTTGTGCGGCCCAGTTCCAAACAGGCAGCGGCCTGGTAATGGGCTGCAGCATGGGGGTTGTGGACCTGTGGTCAGCTCAGCCTAAAGTTTTAATATACTTACAAATTCTGCTACCTGTCATTCCTTACACCCTTTCAGTCAAAATTCTGCCAAACACATTCCCAGTATAAGTAAGAAATTAATCTGCCTCTACTCTTTGTGTTTATTGCTATCTTTCCCTTTATATAGGGGGGAAATAACATTTTGCCAATCAAAAGGCATATACACATAGACAGTCATCAATAAGGAACAGTAACAAACTACACCCATATTTTAACATTTCTCCCTCATCTATAGCCTGACCATTTTTCAACATTTTGACAGAATTAACTCCTTTTTCATTACCTTTTTTCCAGGCACTAACATTTACAGAATTTCTTTCAATTCCACCCTTTGAACAAGCACAATCATCCCCATAAAATCTTTAAAATATTTTTTTTGACCTGTCTTTCCTCCAAATCCATTTTAATGATTTAATATGCTATCAATTGTCCTATGCTGAACTAATTTTGTAATACTTTGAAGCTTGTTTTAATATCTTGCCAAGACAGAGGCCAGGTTGGGGGAACAGAATGAATGATTTTAAGAAACTCGTTACTAGTTATGTGCAAAATGACTTGTTGCAAAGCAATAGTAATAGCACTTAGACTTATATACCACTTCATGGTGCTTTACAGCTCTCTCTAAGTGGATTCCAGAGTCAGCAACCTGGGTCCTCATTTTACCGACCTCAGAAGAATGGAATGCTAAGTCAACCTTCAGCCTGTGTGACTTGAACTGCCAAACTGCTGCCAAACTCCTGGTAGCCGGCAGTAAGCAGAAGTAGGCTGCAGTACTTTATTCTAACCATTGCGCCACCATGGCACAAAGAGAGAATATTGTCTGCCTGTAGAATGGGATGATATATGTTACAAATAGATATACATCCCTAAGGAAGAGTGAACCGTGTATTCTAAATGTGTCAGTTAACTATTAAGCTAATGGCTTAACTAAAAACAGTGATTTTGAACAATTGTAGAACAATTGCTCACGCCAAGCCATACTTGTTTCCTGGCTTTTTTCTTTTTCTCCCCCTCCTCCCCCAATAAATGCATCAATTTATTCAATATTACACTTGATTGTCAACAAAAGGCTAAGAGGCTAGCACTCATTTATTCAGACTCAGCTTAACATTTCTCTGCTTCAGAATTATCTACATATGTCTTCCTGCCACCTGCAGAAGTGAAAGTGTTATTTACCCCACTGGACAAAACCTCAAGTTTAATTACATCTGTTAAATGAAAAAAGTAGCCCTAGTCTTCCTACATAATACATAATACCTACTTTGGTTCTGCATAACAGTGCCAGCCCTCTGGATTGATACTGACCCAGATATCTGTGGAACTCCCACCTTGGTGATGATCTGGAAATCTTAAAACCTTTAGCTCTTCTCCCAGGTCTGAGGACAGAGTGTTTTTGCAGTCCTATACTGATTTTGATTCTCTTACAAATAGGAAGAATTACCTATACTAAATGAATATTTTTCAGAAGCAAGAAGCATTCAAGATAATTACAAAGACTACAGTTTACTTACCTCCTGTAACAATGATATTGGCTTTTACACAATACGTGAAAGCATTAACACCCCTCGGTATCGAAAATTCCCTGACGGGTCTGTAATTGTAACAAGACATTTGATCATACAAACACCTAGGCATCAGTGCTTTTTGTCTAAATCCATAGTTATATGATGGTAGTCCTGGGAAACTGATTTCAGAATCTAAGTCTATAAAAGACTTTGTCCTAGGACTCAAATTTCTATCAAAGACGCAACCAACAACATCACTTGTATGATATTTCAAACAAAAGGTCACTGAAGGTAACAGTTTCCAATGTTACCAGAAACATAAGCAAAATTATAGTGAGCAGAAAGGAAGTAATTCATGGATGTTTGCATTTTTTTTAAATCAAGTCAGAACCAATTGTAAACACTACTTGGTAAAATGATCAGTTATATGAACAATCTCTTTATTGGGTTTTGGATAGTTAAAATTCATATTTTTAGTACTCTGTTTGAGCTGGGTGCCTTATAAAAGCACAAACTTACAAATTGTCTTCAATTCTTTTCAGGTCATCCAAAACCAACGAATGAATGCTATCAAATGAACAGGATCCAAAACAATTCAAAGCTGGAATGTATTTTACTCGTATAACCCAGTCATCATGCAGTTTACGTTTAATGCTAGAGGTAATAAAACAAAACATTACTTTAAAAGGCACATCTGGTTATATATCTGAAAATGAATTTAATGTTGCTCCACTAGTCCTCAAGGGGCTTAGTTTCAAGACTCAACCACCTTAGTAACCCTTCTCTGAACAAACTCCAATTTGTCATTGTGTTTTTTGAAATGTAGTGCCCAAGACTGACACAATATTCCAAGTATGGCTTGACCAGGGCAGAGTAGAATGGAACATTTACTTTCTGGACCCAGTATTTGAGTTGGGCCTAGCATTTGCTTTGTTGCAACTGCATGACACTGCTGATAGCCAATAAAGACACCAAGATCTTTTTTATATGTACCATGCCAAAAGTTATACTTCAACTTCTTTCATCCCAGTCATTGAGGAAAAATTCTCAATGAATTATGAATTCATTTTTCCATCCAAGCTAAAGTGGAGCCATTAACATTATTTGGGTCAGTCAACTGTGAATCTATTGCTGTGTGAACAAAGAGAAAACATGACTTTGGTAGCAGAGCTCAAGGGAAAAGATATATATTGATATCAATATAGATATAGATATATTGCTCTGTCTTCTTTTCTTTTTTTTCTTGTTTCAGTACAGGTTAGTTTCAACCCAGGGGGAAAAGAGAACATCTGGGAGCTTGTGTCTATAACAGGAAAGTAGGGAGGATTGATGTGTAAGTATTCTGGGGGAATAAATAAGAAAGCACTATGGATAGCAAGAAAAGCAAAATTGTCTTCCTGCCTGAAGAGGATCCAGCCAGGTACATTTGCTAAAAGTGCAAACATATTTCTTTTTTGAGAGGAGAAAGCAAAGGAACTCTCAGAGAAGAGAAGAGAAGAGAAGAGAAGAGAAGAGAAGAGAAGAGAAGAG